AAGATGCCGACACTGACAGTTTTCGAAATACTGGCGAGGTGGAAACGTCGAACAACGTGTCAAATATCGTTTGCAGCTGTCATGCGAATACCTCGAAGAGAACCGATCGTCGAGAATGTACCTGAGTTGCCTTCGTTTAGGTTACATTCATTTATCACAATTGTTTCTCGCAAATTATTTTTCCGAAAGGAAATCAGATGATTTCATTACATCAAATCATCTTGTTGGTCATTCGAACTGTAGTGTATCTTTTCATTCTGGTGAGTTCAAACAACCATATTGCACATTGTATCAATCAGATACTGCCGATTCTTTGGGCAGATGTAGTTGATTGAATATCTTATTTCATAGAATAATGACTACGATGAGAGAAAATGTATGCAAATGTGTACGTAAAGAATGGAATGCATTGAGATGTTAATGATGCGATATTGAACGCACAATTTGATCGATGAATCAAACTGAGCAAGCGATTTGAACGATAATTGATTAGGTTGAATTACGCAATGGAAGCACTTCTGAGTCGAGGCAGCATTGTTAAAGATCAGCTCTTCGATCACTCACGATCTTCTCAACACAACGTTTTCTTTCGGAGACTTATTTATACATCACAGGTTTTGGTTTAATCTTTTCACTGTTCACAGTTAGTATTAATCTTTCTAATGGTTTTTTAATCGTGTAAATGAAACTGAGCAAACTTGTCGAAATTGCTTTTCTTCAAAATCTCGAAAAATGAATATATTGAAAAAATTGTATTTGAAAATCACTTTTCGCGGTCAATACCAGTCGCTTACATTGAGGCGTTTGTGTCCTACACGTCATGGCAGTGATGGATTCACGATTTAGGTGAACGGATCGTTTCGTGACAAAATGTCACTTGAGGAATATTTTATGATAGCGTTTGAGGAGCAGTCTCGAAAGGCCGTTCGAAAAAAATTGCCTCCAAACAGAGATACTTGAAAGTTATTGTAAAGTTACATCCATTGCGCACTCAAATAGTGAAAAGAGGTAGAAGGAGAAAACGCTTTTCAAGGAATGCCAATTGGCATGCGAAGAGTGTTTGGATGGTGCGCTGGCAGCGATTGATGAACGAAGACGCATTTGTTTGTTCACATTCTTCGAGTATTTATATGATCAAAAATTGAATTCATTAAGTCATTCCACCAAAGAGGATGTCATCGGTTCATTCAGTGACTTACCGCCGAATTGTATCCTAATAAGAAAGGTTTCATTTTTATTCTTGTTTTTATGTATGCATATTGAGTGACTTTAAAATAAATGATCACTTTTAAATTGCAAATAAATTAACGTCCATAATCAGTTCATTTTTTAGCAGCGAAGTTACAATCGCCTCTTAACAAAATCGTGATGAAATTTTGGGACTGAAAAAAGTCTGAATGCTATTGAGTTATTGAGTTTTCTGATGAAAGGACCACTGAGATATAACTCAGTGAAATTTGTGGAGGAACTAGAACACCCTTCGAAAGATATCACTAGATATCGCACAATGGCAACGCTCAACCAGATATTATTCAGGTGATGGCAACACCGTTAAGACTGATATTGTTGCCACCCGAAGTAATGATGACCAATCGTGTGATAAGACATTTCGGTGAAGAGTATGCATTGAGATGCGTCTTTCGAGATGACAATGGACAGCGACTCATTCCCAAAGAATTCACGAGAGGGCGAGCTGTACGAGGTTGTATTCATTCATATCTCTTATTGTATTTGTTTCAGTGATCCGTGATTTAATTAGTGATTGTGATCATTGAATAAATTAACATATTTTAGATCAATCATTGCACATACAACAACTCATCTATAAGACACTCAGTGAGGGAATTTGTATCGCGTCAAGGCATTATAGTTTTCTCGCGTGGTCAAACTCACAGGTATAAATCCGTTCATCCAGCATTATTGATCAGTCTACAGAGTTCGTTTATTCAGTAAGATGTAGTCGACACATTATTGTCGTCTTTTTTATTGATTTTCAGTATATTTAGATGATAGAATTGAAATCACTTCTCTGAATTTTTTGATCATTTCAAACTGAAAATTTCGAAGTTGATGCATTGTTGTTTTTGTTGAAGAAGGCCAACGATATCTTTGAAGTGAATCTGTCATTTAATGTTAGCCGTTTTTTGGTGATCGATCATCGTTTATAACTGATTCGTGATATCAATTTTAGATGCGCGATCATGGTTGTTATATGTTTGCACCAGCTAAGATTGTTGATAAGGAGAGTGGAGAGGAACGTTGGTATAGCATTGAAGATATCAGACGTTGGATGGGCGATTTCACTGCATCAAAAAGTGTTCCGAAACTGATGTCCAGAATGGGGCAGTGTTTCACACAAGCGCAGGTATTCTGTTCGGGTTCCCTTATCAAATTACAGTGCCTTTATTTAACTCATCTTGAATGCTGAAATTTCTTTGAAACAGTCGATCGTTTAGTCTGTAGGTGCGCAATCGATTCATTCCCATTAGTGATTGTGATCATTGAATAAATTAACATATTTTAGATCAATCATTGCACATACAACAACTCATCTATAAGACACTCAGTGAGGGAATTTGTATCGCGTCAAGGCATTATAGTTTTCTCGCGTGGTCAAACTCACAGGTATAAATCCGCTCATCCAGCATTATTGATCAGTCTACAGTGTTCATTTATTCAGTAAGATGTAGTCGACACATTATTGTCATCTTTTTTATTGATTTTCAGTATATTTAGATGATAGAATTGAAATCACTTCTCTGAATTTTTTGATCATTTCAAACTGAAAATTTCGAAGTTGATGCATTGTTGTTTTTGTTGAAGAAGGCCAACGATATCTCTGAAGTGAATCTGTCATTTAATGTTAGCCGTTTTTTGGTGATCGATCATCGTTTATAACTGATTCGTGATATCAATTTTAGATGCGCGATCATGGTTGTTATATGTTTGCACCAGCTAAGATTGTTGATAAGGAGAGTGGAGAGGAACGTTGGTATAGCATTGAAGATATCAGACGTTGGATGGGCGATTTCACTGCATCAAAAAGTGTTCCGAAACTGATGTCCAGAATGGGGCAGTGTTTCACACAAGCGCAGGTATTCTGTTCGGGTTCCCTTATCAAATTACAGTGCCTTTATTTAACTCATCTTGAATGCTGAAATTTCTTTGAAACAGTCGATCGTTTAGTCTGTAGGTGCGCAATCGATTCATTCCCCTAAATTTGAAAACCGATGTATATATTTGTTGATCACAAAAGTCTTCCGCAAACATTGATGTCATCGTTGATCAAAATTATTTGCTAATGATCAAGCGAGATTTCCATACGATTTTTTCAAGGATATATTTTGTTGTTGTGAATTGCTGTTTTTGAGCCCAATAAAGTTGTATTCTCATTGCGGGTAATCATTTAAGCCAACAATATTGTTAGAACGAAAAGACTGGCGTTTGGAGGAAGATATAGTTGGCGGTTTATGCCATCCGGAAACCAAAGAAAAATATACATTTTCGGATGGAGTTGGTCGGATATCATTGAAGTACGCAGCACTTGTTGCGGCTGAATTGGATTTACGTCCCGTACCCTCATGCTTTCAAGTTAGTATCTTGAATTCATTCGATTTATCCTAAATTGTTTTCAAAAAGAGTTTTTGAAGCGAAACAATTTGATATCAGCAAAAGTATGAATGCGGTATAAGATAATATTATTTTAATAAGGATATACTAAATTCAAAACATTGTTTCTCTGCACAAGTGAAAGCAATAAGAGATTGCTTTTATTGCTTCATGTGTGCGATGCAGATATCGCGTACCATTCGCGTTTCACTGATACAGTCCCTTTGTGCATTTATATTGTCTCCACGAAAGATGAGATGCACACATTTGGATGTTTTGGTACTTACGAATTGTTTTTGAGCGGTGCATATTGTCTGTTGGTAATGTTCTGGAATGGCGATCTTCTTTAAATTTGAAATCTCTCATTTCATTTGCGGCAGATAGTAGTATTTCATGAAGTAGTAGTATAAAAATGTGGGTCAGCACTGAATACTTTAGGTTCGATTCAAAGGTTTCAAAGGTGTTTTATGCTGTGATCCATCGCTCGATATCGAAGCAAGAGAGCAGATTGTCTTTCGAAAAAGTCAAAAGAAATTTGATGAAGATGAAAGCGAATCGGCTGAATTGGAAGTAGTCAAACATTCAATGCCA